CCAGGAGAGCCTACATGTATAAATGGGAATAAATTTCCAATCCTTCACTTCCTCAACAGCATGGTTGCCAATTAAGCCTTCCGTCTGCACTGTTCTACATTTTCTTCTACACTTTAAGTGCACAGGCCTTTCTCTCTCATTGCTCAAAGTACATCTCTCTGCCATTATTGCCCACCCAGCCACCAATCTCTCTAGCCTCTAAATTCTTCGGACATCCTACTCTCAAGCATTTCCTTAAAGGGTTAATTCTCATATATCCTGATACACTATCTCCTCTGTCTCAGTGGTCATTGACAGTAGTCCTTCGACACCTTACAAGGGCTCTTTTTGAGCCCCTCCCATGAACAGGCCTCCATCTCCTAACCTTTAAGACTGCATTCCTCATGGCAATCACTTTTGCATGACATGCCAGTGAGCTTGTAGCCTTACAATCTGACACCCCATATTTCCAGTTCCACTCTGACAAGGTCCAGCTTTTTGTAAGCATTTCATTCCTTCCCAAGGTTGTCTCCCCAGTTCTACCTCTTTCAACCATTGGTTCTTCCACCCTTCTTCCCATCTCCATTTACTCCTCAAGAACACATCCTTCACACCTTGGATGGGATGATAGATCTAGCTTTCTATTTGTCTAGACTTTTTGTCAGCTACCAGCCTCAAAAGGCCTCCAAGTCAGCTCTCAGCATATATCCCAGTGGGTTGCCTCTGCTATCCAACTTGCCTACCAGCTTGCATGTCTTCCAGTGCCACAGCTCCTTCACGCACACTCTACCAGGGCATTGACAGCATCCACAGCTTTCCTCCGCGGGGTCCCCCCCTCCATGAGATTTGCACATCTGCCACATGGTCACAACCATCAAAAGGCCTCCAAGTCAGCTCTCAGCATATATCCCAGTGGGTTGCCTCTGCTATCCAACTTGCCTACCAGCTTGCATGTCTTCCAGTGCCACAGCTCCTTCACGCACACTCTACCAGGGCATTGACAGCATCCACAGCTTTCCTCCGCGGGGTCCCCCCCTCCATGAGATTTGCACATCTGCCACATGGTCACAACCATCCAGATTTATTAATCACTATCGGCTAGATGTTCGCCAGAAGTCCAATGCAGGTTTTGGGCATGCTGTACTTTCTTATACCTTGGTGTGACACCCTCCTCTGTCAATCACCCAGAGTGTGAATCACAGAGAACCATTCAAAGAACTACAATTACAGGTAGGTAACCTGTCTTTCCATTTTATTTTTGCTTTGCTTTTCCTCATTTATTTTAACAATACTTTTGAAACACTTTCTGGTCTGGAGAATGGCTTTTAAAAGAGAAACTCAGGTTAACTAAATCCTTGCTAAAGTTCAGTCATAACTACCTAGTGTTCCTCTGGGGCATGTTTTCAAAGAATGATGGCAGCTTCTGCCAAGATAAACTATAACCCCTCCTCTGGATCTTCAGTGGGTTTAATTAAGTTCAAAGTCCAGGACATATTCAAGGGTTCCCTCATTTTGAAGGAATAAGTGCTCGTCTCTGGAGATTCCACTGGGAAAGTCTCAGAGTAAGGTGTCCTGTGACAGCAATACAGAGTGAATTAAATCTGCATAATTTAGCCCCCTAGAGGATTTGAGAGCTGAAAATCCCTATATATTAGGGATATATATTTTCTTTGTTTTCTGCTAAATAGTGAAATCAAAGGGCCATTTCCTGCTTCAGATGCGCTCTAGAGAATACAGACCCTGTAGTCCATGTCAGTAATCCAGACTGTTCCCAGGACACTCACATTCTTGGAGAAATAGCCATATCTGGTGGGTAGGAATTGCCATGATGACAGTGTTGTGTGAATTATCCCTCAATAACACAGACAGACTTTAATTTTCCTGTTTAATAGTTGTGGTTAGAAGGGATTCCCCCTCCCCAAGTAAACCAAAAATCTCATTCTAAGAGATATAAATACAGTTTAATAAATAAGGGTGTTTTATGTGATTATAACAAAAACACAAAGAAGCTGGAAGCATTTGTGTTTAATACGATGATTAATGTCCAATTTATAGATGACAGTTAAAAAAAACCAACAACAACATTACATTCTGCTGTAAAGGTAGAGGAAAAGACAGCTGGACAGTATTGACATAACTGTACCTGTAATTGACAGACAAAACAAAGAATAACATACTTATATTTTTTTTATGCTCCCCATGCATTCAAAATGAAATGCCACTTGTCTTTATATAGGAGCCAGGTGGCTCTTGACAAGAACAGCTCAAGGTATTGAAGGACATGGTTTGCACCGCTCACCACTCCTGCCCTGCCTCTTTCTGACAGGTTCAATAAGGGGTGCTCTTGCAGTTTAAGGAGATCTATCTTTAAAACACATGTGCACTGTGCAATAGCGCCACCTAGTGACCATTAAATAACTGATTTGAGTTACACTTTGTGAAGTGAGCACATCTCAGAAATGGACTCCCAGATGGTATTATTGAAATGATCACTCCAAGATATCCCTTTGCACTCCAAAAACCAACTGATCCAAGTTGCCAGTAACTTTTTATCTGAACTCAGGTACAAGTAATTGGTTGACTGAGGGAGCTTCTATGAGGCATAAACACAGAATTTCATAATCACTGACATAATTGCTCATTTCACTTTCCTTCTTGCTCGGGTACAAGTAATTGGTTGACTGAGGAAGCTTCTATGTGAGACATAAACACAGAATTTCATAATCACCGACATAATTGCTCATTTCACTTTCCTTCTTGTAAAAAAAAACCTAAAACAAACAAACAGGTACTGTTGCATAGGAACAGACTAGGTGGACAGTGTCTTCAGATTAACACTGCTAAACAGCATTCCGTCTGAAAGAATCTCAATCAAGAAAAATATATTCCATCCCTTGACCGTGAGAGACTTATTCAAAAATCCTGTTCAATATGATTTGTTAGGCAGTTGACATGGGGACGGAGCAGAACGTGTTTTTGTTTACAGAATTTATTTTGAAAACACAAATACCTGCATGTTTTGTTTAATATTGCCTGAAAGAAAAACAAATGAGTATGCTGATGTCACGTGGATTACATACATTGCTTTGCTTGTAGCAGTCAAAGAGTGCGAGAATGTGATTCATAGCATCAAAAAGGAATTCCCGTCATAACAATTGGGTGTACAACGGATTGTCTACCTATGACCACACATACAGAGAAAACACAACTGCATCAGAAAGATGACATCTGGTTCTTTAAAGGCCAACATAATATTTGCATAAGCATCTCTAGAAAAAAGCAGTATAAAAATACATCTAGAAAGTTATGTAAACCTAGTTTCTCTCAACACATAGCTGCCTAAACAGATTGACAGGGAACACACGGAGCTAACAAAACAAAAGGCCAAGAAGACAGACAGGCAGTGGGACAACCACACACAAGGCAGAAAGAAAAGAGTATCCATGTATGACTGGAGGTGAGTGAATGAAAGGTATGAAACAAAATTATAAAACAAAGTGTGCCACTTGTTTGGCAAGACTTATTAGATAAGAATCGATGCTTCCAAGGATTCACTAAAGACAATCTCTAAGGGTGAGAGGCCTGTGGTCATGACTTAGGCAGAATTCAGACTGGCAACTGCAGTGTGTGCTTAGTATTTATGCTTCATTTGTAAGGAGAAAAGCTGTGGTATTTATTTTCATTTGGAGGCTCTGGTATGTCTTACCCGCTGTGCACTCTGCAATGGCCAATGTGGTCTTTATTGAAATAATATATTGTTCTTGTTATGTTGTTTGTGTTTCTGTACAGTTATGATTCTATGTACTTCTACCTGGAAGTGACTTCTTAGCTCTTAATTCTTTAGTCAGACTTCCCATTTTGGGGATGGTGTGCTGTCCCAGAACGGAGCGGCAACATACTGTTTGAAGAAAGGGAACATGTCCTGATTAACTTACAAAAAGGAGCACAGACAGTGCTTTCTGTGATAAATGCTCCACCTAGGAGTTTTCCATCCATTCAATCCATAATAAATTTTCCAAAAAAAGCATTCAGAAGAAGAAGCTAAGTTATCATTGCTTGCTGCCAGCATACATCTGTGGAAGAAATGCAGCATTTCATTAGTTAACTTTAATTTGACACTGTGCCTTCCAAGACTGTTTCCATGTTCAGAAGAACATCAATTGGATTCTGGCCTTCAATGCTACACCATAGCAAGTGAAAGACCTAGAGAGTGCAAATGTAATCCTTCTGAAGAGAATGACTTGGAGTATTCCTTGAAAGGTGTTTTGCCTATTTTGAATCTGGATAGTTCAGGATGATGCAAATAATTTAAGCCACATTTCTTCAAATGAGGAGACTACCCTCTTTCCTTCCCACTTCTAGTATCTGTGCCTGCATATTAGGAGAGATCCAAATTAATGTCCTTGATTTTAAGGAACATTGCTTCCTAGCACAAAGATAATTATCCACTAGAGATTTGTTTGTAACCTATTGTGTTGTTACTGTTTGTAGTAGCTATTAAACTGCATGCATGCTGTGTTGTGAATTAGATTGACAATTCTTAATTTAAAATCAGTTTTTTTACTAACAACTCTTATGGTGAAACAAATAATTTATTGTTGCCATGGTATTTTTGGTATTTATTTGCTTTCTCTTGGTATTTGGGTATATTTGCATATCCATCAGGGAGAGAGAGAGAGAGAGAGAGAGAACTTTCTCTTGGTATTTGGGTATGTTTGCATATCCATCAGGGGGAGGGGGAGAGAGAGAGAGATGGTAATTGCCTTAAAGCTGATTTTTTACCAATCCTTCTCTATGCCTAATTGGATGACAATGGAGCTACTCAATTCTGTATCAATTCATGGATAGAAGGAAGTGAACAAATGAAGTGATGTTGGAGGTGAGAAGTAGTTGGGGTTTTAAAATTGTTATTTTAAATAGGTACACCAATTTTGTTTGCAAATATAGTGACACTTCATTGCAAGAAATGGAAGCCAAGTTTATCTGTCAGTAGTCATACTGCAGAATCTCTCCTTTAAGTGTCTGGCAGATATCGTATTACATGAGAAACCAGTTTATTCTTCCTTTATGCACTTGGTTCTCAATGTATGTGAAAAATAACACAACAGTGCTAAAGAAAAAGTTAGAAATGCCTACAGAATATTTGGCCATTACCCAATTCAAAGTATTTACAAATTATTTTATACTGTTCTACTATATATCCTCTGGAATTCACAATGTACTATTCACCAGATCTCTTCATTTCAATGTCTTCATGCTTCCAGTGCTTTTAGATTTTGCCTTTTGTCAGTCACAGTTCTGAAGAATCAGTGGAGCAGAAGCGTGTGGATGTAGATCTGTCTTTCAATCCATTCAATAAAGTGAGACACATTACTATAAACTCCAGGTCCCAAAACTTTGGAAAAACAGACCGAGCCCCAAGAAGTCAAGCCAAACAATGTCCAACGTCCCACAGGGTGTTCACACACAAGAGGACCTCCACTGTCACCCTGTAAGGACAGAGATGTCATTGCACAACATAACGCTTCTGACCTAGAAAAATGTTCTTGAATGGATCATATAAACAGGAAAAAGCAATCTCCCAGAGCTTGGAAAGAATTCATTACATTTAACACATTAAATGCATTTACACATCGGTTCTGGAGAACCTGCATAGGCATTCGTTCTCTAACCACAACACTCTTCTTAGTTTGGCTCCAGCTGACTATGTTTTGCTTACTGTATCCATTACATTTAATCAGCATCTTTTCTGTTATGGAGAGTGTGAAGTTTCTGGGTGCCACTGCCAAGACTGGAGCTACATGCTTCAATATATAAGCATTGAAAAGCATGGAAAAGTTGCTGAGTGCCTTGCGGGTGTTTACAGAGAGGAAGAGAGACAATTAAATCACCATTCCCCAAGGTGAAACCTGATATCTTAAGCTGATGTTCCAAGGTTGCAGTTGCCATTTTTGAATTTCACTATACTTCTCTGTTTCTTTCTCCTCTGCAAGCAAAGCCCAGTTCTGCAGGCACTGGAAATTTCAGTTATCTAACAAGATATGTCCCACCCTTGTTTTTGGAAGATTAAAAAAGCCTTAAGGTGTCCAGAAGAGAAAGTGCCAAGGGAGCAAAGCTGGCAGGGAGCACCTGACTATGTTTCTCACAAGCTTGCAGTAATGAGATTAATCTAATTTCTTTGAGAATATTTTCCATTGCATCAGTAGGATATTTATACTATCTTCACTACTCACAGGAGTTTTGTTTTGCTTTGTTTTTCAAAAGGGTCTAGTAATTAATCCAGTCTTTCGTAGAAGCTCAGTCTTAATGGGCTCCAAAATTTAATGCACAACCAAATGGTATACAGGGATGCAATAATGGCGTCAGTGATCAGGCTGGATCCAGAGAAAACCCAGCAGGTCATGCCAGTAACTTTCCCATTCCTTCTTCCTTCTGAAAAGCCTTTCTGGGGTAGAAGCTTGCATGGGGAAATGGGGAAAGGAAAGCCACCTTTTCCTCTGTCTGCTTCTGCAAACTTTTTTCTAAGCAACCCAGCATTAGAGAAACTTTAGCAACAGGTGCTAACTTTAGCACTAACTTTAAAAAGCAACAGGTGCTAAAAATGTTTTGTCCTGCTGAGAAAACATGTCCTCTCTCTCTCTCTCTCCCTCCCTAACCCTAACCCAGCACAGCAACAGAGGACGCAGCTTTGTCCATCCAACCCAATATTGTCGACTCTGGCTGCCAGTGGTTCTCCAGGATTTCAGGCCAACTTTTTCCTCAGACCTACCTGGGGGCTCCTGCTAGTCTCTATAGTCTCCCCTCCAAGAACTAAATAGGCCATGTCCTATTCTGAAACCAGACAAGACTGCATGTGTTCAGGTTAACCCACCACATGATCATAGTGAGGTAGATTGTAGCAATTACTGTATGTTATTATGAGGCAGTCATTATTTCTATGCTCCCCTTATGTTTTTATTTATTAACTTGGCTTGGTAGCACATCTTCAATTAATTCTATTCCATCTTCAAATGCAGTTTGGGAGTCATACCTAACTCTCAAAAAACTGCAGAAACTGACTCTTCTAGAATGTTTTTACTTAAAATTTGATCTGTGTGTTTTTTGATAGTTACGGGCATCAGCCTGTACCTCACGTGAGGTTTCCTGGTGGTGGAATCAATCATCTAAGGATGATCATCTTCAAATTTGGCTTAGAAATTAGGCCATAAGTGCAGCCAGCATAATATACGTGGCATGTGAACCAACTGCCTAATCTCCCAAGTCAGTGGTCCCCAGTGTTGAGCCTCCAGATGTTCTTGGACTACAACTCCCAGAAGCCTTCACCGCCACCTCTGCTGGCCAGGATTTCTGGGAGTTGAAGTCCAAGAACATCTGGAGGCCCAAGGTTGAGGACCACTGTCCCAAGTTACCTTCTGGACACAGGTACACTTCTAAACCATCTTTCAATCAGACCCATGTAATACTACAATAGGCTATCAAGAGAACATGCAATGCAAGTCACCTTCTGGACACAGGTACACTTCTTAACATCTTTAAATCAGATCCATGTAATATTACAATAGGCTATCAAGAGAACATGCAATGATGAGGCTTGGTAAGAGACAAGATATGAACTAGTGAAATAACTCATGCTAGCCACAAAGGACAGAGGATCACTGAAGTGCTGAGTGTTTAATTCCCTTCTGGCCCAGCAAAAGACTTCATCAACAGTGGGTAGCAGTACCAAATAGTTCAAACTCTTTCACAGAACATTTCAGGGAAAGATCGATCCCACTGTTTCTTTTCCCTGTCTCTTTTTAAGTAAAAATGTTCAATGCAAGCAACTCAGAATCTTAGGCAGAAGGCAAAATCCAAACCTAAATCAAGAAATAGAACAGGTTTGATATGCAGGGATTCTCACAAAGGGGTCTTGAAAAAATGTCGTAGCACCTAAAAACTAACTGCTATATTTTAATGTGAGGTTTTGTGGGCATGTCCACTTCTTCAGTGATTCTTTCAATGTCACTGAATGAAAGATTCATAATTGGACAGGTGCTTAAGCTTGAGGCTTAAAACCTAACAAAATGGGCACTGCACCATATTAGTTTCATGTCCATCATGGGATCTAACCACATCTATTGTGCTAATGTAGGCAGAGCAGTGATAAGCAATGGCTATCATTCTGAGAAATAATCTGCATGTCTGCCTGCCTTGTGCTTTGTGTTTCATTTCTAGAACTGACTTACCATGCAAGAGTCCACAGTGCCAGACTCATAGCCAGCACATAACATCCTGGCTGTGATGGTCTTCATGTCAAAGTATGTCCGGCACTGTTCTAAGGAAATTATACGAACTTCTCCTTCCTGAAGTTTGAAAGGCACTAAACAAAAGGAAAAGATCCAACTTCTGTCAAAGCATGCAGTTGCATAATACTGTACAGTATGTCATCATAATCATTTTGTTGTACAAAGTGAAGAGAAGGTAACAATTCCCTTAAGCTTCAGTATAGCTGAAGAGCTAAAAAAAGCTTTTTAAATTTTTCAGTAACAGTTTCTGGAATGCAGGGTGCAGGTTACATCTTCCTGCCATAAGAGGATACTTTTCTAGTCAAAGAAAAGTTTTGGAAGCAGGCTTGCAGCTTACATCTCCCTGCCATAAGAGGATACTTTTCATCTAGTCAAAGAAAAGTTTTGGAAGCAGGCTAGCAAGGAATAGTCCTGAGGTGCTGCATGTCTGTGGAGTGCATGGCAAAGTATATACTGTATACATTGACATAAATGCTGGAATCCAATTGCCCATTTTGTAGTAGCTCCTCATTAACAAGGTGCTGGCTGCATTCCTGACTGCATTCCTAATCATGTGACTGGATGTGTGTCAAGGAATACAACAAGCACCTTGTCAATGAATGGCAATATGCTTCTGTGAGCACCATAGTACTTTTGCGAGCATAAATCAGCCATTGGATTCTGGCCAATATCTCAGTGACATAGGAAACCATGTAACCAAGGAGACCCATGGCTTGTTGGCTATAGAAAACATATGGTTGTAGAAAGAATGGCTAAGCAAATCGGTAGTTTATTTTCTGTGTTGTCTAAATGCTCATTGGATTCTGGCCAATATCTCAATGACATAGGGAAACCATGTAACCATGGAGATCCATGGCTTGTTGGCTATAGAAAACATACGGTTGTAGAAAGAATGGCTAAGCAAATTGGTAGTTTATTTTCTGTGTTGTCTAAATGCAGGCAGTTTACATTTTGATTTCTTCATCCCTTGAGGAAGAATTAGAATATAAGAACATAGATATATAGAATCAATATTGACTATAAAGGCAATGCACATTCTCTGTGATTAACCTACTTGCTCTCTCATGAAAGGAGTTCTTAAGAGATATGCATCTTGTCAATCAGACTTGCAAATTAAGCTCATGTTTACCTCCCAATGACTTAGAAAAACAAAACACAGTATGTGCAAGATACACAGTTTAGAAAAGCCATATGCTCTGACAAAGCACCATCTTCCATCACTTGAGGGAGCACCTTTTCTAAAAATATTCTAAGTGGATAATCTAGTTGGACTCTTTGTCTTGCTTGTTGGTGGTTGTTGGGAACAACTGGAGTGACAATAGTATCTATGTTCAGACAACAAACCACAGTGTGAAGTTCTGAGGTTTTCTTTAGCAATTCTCATTACAAAAAGAAGCACATTTCCCTTTACTAATAAACCAGAGCTCCCACAGATCCCTGGCTTAATGTGTTGTGCAGTTATAGCCATTCTGAAAGTGACAGTTTCAGCTCAGTGGTTTAGGTATCTGTCTGTGGAGCTAGAGGCAGGGAGTTCAATTTTCCACTGTGCCTCCTCGACAAGAGCATGGGCTCAATGATCCATAGGGTTCCTTTCCACCCTGCAGTTCTAAGATCATTATCAACAAGAACTTATGAACATTGTTCTGTGGTTAAGAAAACATATGTGCATAAAGCAAAAGGATAAGTACTTTACGGGCGGGCACAGACACCACTCTTGTTTATTTCGGCTACAGACCTTCCACATTCTTTAGTTGCGCCCATTCCTGGAGAGGTCTGATCTGACCATGGGGCTGGTTGCAGAGATCACATAACTCCCCTGTTACAGCAGCTCCTTTTGGGCACAATTCAAAGTCTTGGTTTTAACCCATAAAATCCTAAATGGCTTGGGTCCAAGCTATCTGAAGGACTGTATCTGCCTTTATGAGCCTGTCTGGGTGTTAAGATCATCAGGGGAGTCCTTTTTCTCAACCCCACCGCCTTCACAGGTGTGTTCAGTGAGGACATGCGAGAGGGCCTTTTTCTGAAACTGCACTTCTGGAACTCCCTCGTGCAGGATTCCAGGCTGGCTCCATTTCTGCAGTCCTTCTGCAAGTAGACAAAGACTATTCTCTTCAGACAGGCTTTCCCTTAGTGATCAGCTGCGTGAGAAGGGTTTTTTAATGGAGTATTGTTGCTTTGAAACTGTTTTTGGTATTGATTTTGTTTACCATTTTTAGTGCAGGTGGGTGAGTATTTTTTGGCTTTTTAATATTAACTTTTAATATTAGCCCTGGGTCCTTTTTAAAAATAAAGGCAGACTCAATATATTTTAAATAAATAAATTACCCACAAACCCAACTGCAGTTTTGTTTGCCAAGTAAATTTAGCCAGGGTGCATAGGGAGGGAATTACAGTGGTTAAACTATTATGGAAATCCAGTTGGGAGGGGTGAAGGGGGTTTTCTTCAAAGCACATTTCTTTTCTTTAAATCTCAGATATTATTCAGTTCTGAACATGAACTGAAGTGTAACAGATGAACATACTAAGAACAGCGGATGAGGATATTTTTATCTTCTTAATAATGGCCAGCAAACTTTATTTCATTATTCTTTGAACCAGTGGATTCCCATTACAGCCAGAAAAGTGACTGAGGTTGGCAAAAGGTAAATAGATTTGTTAAACTAGAAAGCATTCATCTTACTTTTGTTGCCCATGTGTCCCCAACCGGTGATGTAGCAATAGGTATCTGGCTTAAGTAGCTGTTCCCTGCTGGGCAGACAAACTGGCCTTACATAGCTTGTCTCGTTGATGTCTTCATTGAGTTCCACAATGCTTATATCATAGTCCACTACAGCACGGTTATAGCGAGGGTGCAGAATAACTGTCTTTACCGTGCGGGTCTGCATAAAGACTGAAGGGTGATCCAGATTGTTGATCCCAAACACTACTTTCCAAACTGCAGGATTTTCTCTTCTTGTGGTCAGGAAAGAGATAAGATATATGGAGTTAGTTCTGAACGTTGATTCTTTAAATGGAATGATATACACATGTACCTTATAATGTTGACCACATGAAGTACTAAAAGCATCAATAGAAAGATGAAATCTGGGCTTTTCCAAAAGCAAAACTGAACTAGGTAAAGGTAAGGGTTCCCCTTGACAATTTTTGTCCAGTCGTGTTCGACTCTAGGGGGCGATGCTCATCCCCGTTTCCAAGCCATAGAGCCAGCGTTTTGTCCAAAGACAATCTTCCGTGGTCACATGGCCAGTGCGACTTAGACACGGAACGCTGTTACCTTCCCACCGAAGTGGTCCCTATTTATCTACTTGCATTTGCATGCTTTCGAACCGCTAGGTTGGCGGGAGCTGGGACAAGCGACGGGTGCTCACTCCGTCGCGTGGATTCGATCTTACGACTGCTTGGTCTTCTGACCCTGCAGCACAGGCTTCTGCAGTTTAGCCCGCAGCGCCACCATGTCCCACTAAAACTGAACTACCTTTCTGTCATTAAATGAATAAAGATGGCAAGAAAGGTGATGTACACTTCTCATCTTGACCATATAAAATAATATTTTCTGACCATGATAATGGGCCACTTTCAGACAGAATATACTTTTAGAGTATCTTCTACAAAATGTAACTGATATAGATCAGTGGGTTAAGCTCCTGGCTGTGGTGCCAGATGCTAGAAGTTCAAATCCCCACACATGCAGCTGAGACTGCATATGTATGGCTGATGGGATTAAGTTTCCTTCTACTGTAATAACACCAAAATGTGAGACTGGTAAGCCAGATGTGAATTCTTTATGCCTGAAAAACCCAGGAGTGTCACAATAAATCATAATTAATTTAATGGCACATAATTATTATTGTATCCTGCAATTATTTATGTAATTATTGCTATTACTATTCTTTCACATTTTAAAAGAAATTATTAAGAAATAATTATCCAGTCAGCAACACAAAACAACAGTGCAACAGCACATAAGATAGACAAGGCCTTAATGTTAAATTGCATATAATGTAAAAGAATGAAACTGGTCACTCTCCCATGCTCCCTTATTGCTTATTTTGCATTTTTATTTTCCATATAAAAGCTAAGAAAAAGAAAAAAATTGAATCTCTGCATGAAATACTCCAGTTGGTAGCATTCACCACATTGCATACCCTCTGTCTGGAAATACCTGTTAGTCTGCGTTGAGGTGAAAACCTAGTCACAATGATCTTATGCTACATAGACTTCCTTAGAATTTAAGCATAATTTAGTTTGGATCCAGTCCAATGTGTGCGTAAAATAATATGCTTTAGCATTACCTAACACCTTACGTGATGTACTACTTTAGATATTGTTAGGTAATACTGGAGCATATTTTACTTAAGACATTTATATCCTGCCCTTCCTTCAGGGATCTAATCCATGGAATCTGAGATTCAGGAAATGATGAGAAAACCCCATTATTAGATTGTGTGGCTAGTAGTAAGCAGTTCATGTGTTTTAAATAACTTTAAAGGCTATACAGTATGTTCTTGATTGACAAAGTAGCACTCAAAGAATAGCAGTTCAAAACATAAAGGTATTTCTGTTCTCATAAATATCCTAATCTATGCCACATTGTGTTTTTCCATCATCAGAACAAAACTGAAAATACACATCCTTGGGCCAATAAAAAGTCATAATACTCTTTTCTAACAATGTTTTCTAACACTAGCAAGTTAACAGTACATTAGAAGAAGAAGAAATTGTTTAGAAGGTATTGATGATGAGTTAGAAACATGAAGATACTAAGTAATTTATGAACTATAGTTGTTCTATGCAATTAAGAATGGCTTGAATATAAGATCAATACAGGTTTAAGTTTATATATTAGACAATTTATGTATGTTAATCTTTAGGGTTTATGTAGTCAGAATTATATATTAAATGGATATGGCCTAAAGATGCTTAGTAGGGCAATATGGTTTATGTAGTCAGGTTTATATGTCAGATGGAAATATTCTCCCCACATATATGTTCTATGTTTGTTTTGTATGTTTGTTTGTGTTTAATTTAAAAAAGAGAAAAAAACAAGTACATTAGAAGAACAGGCACCATGTTATGAATACCATCTTTCAAAGCAATGTAAGAAAAGAGGTTATCTATAAATCTTGAATTTTTTTAATATTCAGAGACAAACTGAAGCAGACCAGCTGTCCCTCAACCCTCACCTAGCTGCAGTCATTTTGAATGTTGTCCACACCAATTGACTGTTGTAAGAACAGAACGTTTTTACAACAGTATATCTATGAAGATTTTCAGTCATCCAGGTGAAGTTATGTGGACACTGAGTCATGGCAACTGTACGTCTTTCTTATTATGTTGAAATGTTTCACTTGGATGAGCAGCGAAATGTTTCAACATAAAAAGAAAGAAGTATAGTTGCTATGACTCAACTTCCAGTTCTTACAACAGGTGCCCGAGATTGGTTTTTCACTCTTCCCTTCTTTTCTTTATGCCTTTTAAGATGGTACACCAGAGGGTAAAAATGGTCTCCAGACCATCAACCTCACCATTCTGCAGTATACAAAAGGATAAATCTTGCTCTAGAAGAGTCAACACAGCCTCTGAAACAGTATACTGGATAAAAGCAAATAAAAAGTTCGCCACAAAACAGGCTGCAAAAATGGGTGAAAATGCACTTCTGCATCTGCAAACTCAAGAAGAGAAATATTCTGCCCTCCCCTTCTCCCTATTATGTTGAAAAGCCCACATGAACCACCAAGATTGGAAATAGAACACATCTAATAGATGTTTAGAATTTTGTCAAGGTTTTAAGCAGGATTTAAGAAAACATGGAGAAAATTTTAAACCCTTATTAGATGTGGTCCATTCCCATTTTTGGGCTCATTCAAAAGACACCTGAAATTAGTCTACAGCCCTTAAGCTGTACAGGCCTTTTTGGACAGAGCTAAACACGAAACATGTTTAGAAACTCATTGAAGAAATATCTAATTTCTTTAAAGCATTCTTTAAAGCATTCTCAATGTCCCCTCTTTTATGAATTTATCAATGGAGTTTCCAGAGGAAAATATTTGCAAAACATTAATTTAGCACTTCTGTTCTCCTAGAAAAGTAGACAGAGAAAACCTAATAATGTCCTGGTATAGTCTGTCGTACAATAATCTTGTTGAAATTCAGCAGGGTAAGCTGTGATCTGTGCCTGGATGAAAGAATGCCTTTGTGTTCTATGTTTGTAATTCCATCATGGGAGCAAGGTATAATATAAATACCATCAATAAATAGATACATATTATTCCCTGATCTTCTTTAGGTCAGTATGTCATTTACCTACTTTTTATTCTAACATTTTTATAAAGTTCCTTTCTCTGTAAATAAACAAAGTGGCTAAGAAAGTGGCTAACAGAATGGTGACAAAGAAAAGGCAGAAGTGCTCAATTCCTACTTAAGCTCAGTCTTCCAAAACACAGTCTATACTTCTCCAGGAAAATAGGAACGACAAAGGGAGGAGATAGGATTGCAGCTTGAGATTGATAAACAAGTAATCAAGGAGTATATTACTACTTTATATGAGAACAAATTCCTAGGGCCAGACGAACTCCCTCCAAGGATACCAAAGGAACTGTCTGAAGAGAATGCAGAACCACTGTCTATTATTTTCTTGAAATAATGGAAGCTGAGTGAAGTACCAGATGATCGGAGGAGAGCTAACGTCCCAATCTTCAAAAAGGGCAAAAATAGAAACTACTACAGACCAGTCAGCCTGACACCAATCCCAGGGGAAATTCTGGAGCAGATTATAAAGCAATCACTCTGGCAAGCACCTTGAAAACAATGCAGTAATAATTAGAAGCCAACATGGATTTGTCAAGAACAAATCCTACCAGACTTGTCTCATTCTTTGAATGGGTAACCACCCAGGAAAATGGTGGGAGTGCTATAGACATAATATATCTTAACTTCAGCAAAGCCTTTGACAAAATACCCCATGATATTCTGATGAGCAAGTTAACTAGGCATGGGCTAACTAGAACAACTGTCAGGTGGATACACAGTTGGTTACAGAATTGGACTCAGAGAGTGTTTATCAATGGCTCTTTGTTGAGCTGGGAGAAGGTAACAAGTGGGGTACCACAAGGCCTAGTCCTGGGACTGGTGCTCTTCAACATTTGTATCAATGACTTTGATGAAAAAATTCAAAAAGCTCTTCATAGACTTGAGCATTGGGCTGAAAACAACAGAATGAAATTTAACAGGGATAAGTGCAAAGTTCTGCACCTAGGGGGGAAAAAGAAAACCAAATGCATAGTTACAAGACAGGCGATACCTGGCTCAGTGAGTGAGTGAGAAGGATAATGGATTTGTAGATCAAAAGCTGAATATGAGCCAACAGTACAAGGTGGCTGCAAAAAGTAGGATGCATTAACAGAAGTATAGTCTCCAAATCCCGTGAGGTACTAGTTCCCCTCTATTCAGCACTGGTTAGGCCTCATCTAGAGTACTGTGTCTAGTTCTAGACACTGCACCTTAAGAAGAATGGCAACAAGCTGGAGCAATCTCAGAGGAGGGCAACAGAGGATCAGGGTACTAGAAATGAAGCCCTGTAAAGAAAGACTGGAAGAAATGGGTATGATAGCAGTTTTCAAATACTTGAAAGGTAGTCGTAAAGAGGAGGGGCAGGATCTGCTCTCGATCATCCCAGAGTGCAGGGCATGTGATATTGGGCTCAAGCTACAGGAAGCCAGATTTAGGCTGAATATCGGGGGTGGGTGGGTTCTTAACTGTTAGAGCAGTATGACAACGGAATCAGTTACCTTGGGAGATGGTGAGCGCTTTAAAGCTGGAAGCATTCAAGAGAAAATTGGACAACCATCTATGAGATCTGCTTTTATTGGGAATCCTGCATTGGGCAGGGGGTTGGACTTGATGGACTTCTAGGCCTCTTCCAACTGAATTATTTTATGATTCCATGATTAATAATAATAAATCTCTGTATAATCTGCTGCTGGTCTCTAGGAAAAAGCTACCACACCTCCTGACAGAGATCAGTCAAGGGCCCATGGAAATTCTTGAAATGATTCTGTGCTTTATGTGGTTAATGCATCTAAGTGTCATCAGCCAAATAGGTATCACCAGAAAAGGAATTGAAAACATATTTTTCAGAACAATGCCAATGGCAGCTGCAATGGCTGAAATCTTGCTAAAAAATCTGCATAGACATTATCTGTTGCCTTTTTTTATAGGCATCCTTCAGTCTTGAAAGACTATGGTAACGTGCTCTGAATAGAGGTCTTGGAACAGTGTCTAGTGTAGCTGAGAAGGCCAAAACAAGAGTGGCAATCCCTTCCACACTGAAGAACTGGTAATTGCTACTTTCCGTGTTGTTTCAATGCTATGTGCGAAGCTGGAGTGTCCTCTCCAGAGCACGAAGCCTGGATAAAATAATACGGAAGATAAACTGTTACCCAAGCAGAGACCTCTGGGTAGTTTGGGCGGCATACGGAAGATAGACTGTTACCCAAGCAGAACATCCCTCCTCTCCACATCACTGAAGTAGTACAATGGAAAGGCAAGAGCCAATACAACTAGTTCCAGTGATGTCACAGGAGATGCCAGAGCATGACTGTACACAGTCACGAACTGCGACTCCAGCTCCGGATTTTGCCTCAAGGTTAATTCCTGAAGCCTTTTCCATTGGTTGATATAGCCACAAGGCAGTGGAGGATTGAAATCAGAGTTTTCCTTCTCCTAGATGGGCTGCCTTCCCAGGCTAATGAGCCCCACCTACCCAGATGCATAGATTACTGTGCTTTTTGGGCACAGTATACTCTCTACTCCTATACTCTGTTGCCTACTGAGTTGCTTATGGTAATTGATGTCTGAAAGGTGTGTCATTTGAACAACTGAGCAACAGGATTTCAGCCAATGTGTCTTCCAGCTCACATGGTTTAATACAAGTATCATCTGAAGACTAACACTACATATTGGGAACCATTTATCTAAATATAATTTGTATCTCACAAACTTGAATCAATGTCCTCCTCCTACTCACCCCTCAAAGCAGTGTGCCACTGTCAGGACCCATTTCTTTGCAATCAGAACACAACCACATATATGCCCACTTGGCTCACTTTGCAGAGAACACTGCCATGGCCACCGTCCTGGACGACTAGTCCTGCCACCAAGAACCCTCTTGTTCATTCGAGCAGCAGGCCGACGTCCACAATCTATTAAGAAACATATCAATCAATGCTAATAAGCATCATCAGTGTTCTCACGATATCTAGACAACCACTTATCAGCTCAAAAACTGCATTCAGAATAGAATTATTGAAAACATGGTTGCAGACTAAATTTATGAATAAAAATAAGAATATAGGAGTATCGGGAACTGCCTTATACTATGATAGACCATAGGTCTGTTTAGCCCAGTAACTCCAGGATTTCAGATTCTTCTGAATTCTTCACCAGATCTTCCCAGAGACCCTTTATATTTCCTAGTGGTCTCCCACCCTTGCTTAGCTTCTGAAATAAGATGAAATCAGGTTGGCATGATGAACTAATGCTACCCTGTACACTTCCAGTCTCATAATTTCAGAAGGTAATGCAACAAATCATTCCTCAAAAAATTCATTTCAGGACAGCCCTATTATATGATTACTACTAGCACTGTACTTCTAATCTGGTTCACAGCAATAAGACCCTCAGCAACAGTTGTAAGAAAGCAACAACAGAAGGCTACTTTAAACCCTGCTTGTTGATGTCTTGTAGACACTGTTTTGTACTATAGGAAGTAGGTGGATATTTGATATCTACCACAGTGCCCCTTATGTTCTCACAAAGATTGTTAAATGAGCATATACATTTTTATAAAAGGGGCCTGTTTGGTGCCTTGAAGGTATTTACCTCATTTCACCCTTCATAGTTGGATGCATTATGTATCTTACCTTCCTTGGTACACAGAAGAGAAACCATACTTCTGCTTCTGCATGGCAACCTAGGTGCAGAAATAATAACTTTTTGATGAACAATTTCATTAGCATTCGTGTTGCTCCTACTTAATATTTAACCAGATGTATAATTTATCATCATTTAGTCTTTCATGAACCACCAGTTGTTCTCCTATATTAATAAACAATGCATTGGAAAACCAAATGACTCTTAGTTTCTAAAACAATGGCTGAAATTCTGTTGTGCAGTTCCATGTGCATAGTGAGAGTGATGTCACCAGCGGTGACCAATCACCATGGATCAAAGGCTTACTTTGGCAATTTTGGGGTACACGTAACTTCACTGCACTGCATACAAGCCATGTGCACCCCAAAAATTTGCCAAAGGAAGCTTTAATCAGCAGCAATTTGCTGCTGCTGAAGTTATTCCCACCATGCACACACAGCTGCACAACAGAATGTCATAGTGTAGTTCAGCCTATGTCCATAAATAATGTAGGTTTTGCCTAATAAACATGCCTTTCAGTCCAAACATGAGGCACAATAACTATTGTTGTACAAGGGATATTGGAATCTGTTATAAATTATTATTTCTTTATTTGTCTTTATACCGCCCATCTAGATGAATCTACTCTGGGCGGTTTACAGTCCAAAAAGGCAATAAAATTAAAATCATCAATAAAAAGACTAAAACAAGCCAACGTAGTGCAGATTTGTAGGATTTTTTTCTATTTATAATAATTATATAGAGTGCTTCTAGAAAAAATAAATATAAATGTGACTACTTCCACATAGAGAATGTGACTGTATGCAAAAATTCAAAATTCCATATGCAATAGCCCAGCTACTCAGAGAGAGAGAGAAAAAATTGCCACATATTTATTTCCAAAAAAACCATTTCTGTCCTTCAAATGGATGTCCTACGATGACATTCTTTTGACATCTGTGTGTGTGTGTTCTATACTCACACCCTAATCTATACTTGTATAACTTGCACAACCTGACACATGAGTTGTAACATAACACAATGGTTTGTAACATAATACAACACAAATAGAAATGCACACCAAGATTCATGCCTGATCACATAAACATACCAAACGGTGTGTATTCACCTCATGCCTGAATACCTACTGAATGTGGATAAAGATGCACATTGAAATCTAGTCTCCACTGCAATTCTTCAACTAGGAGGGGGATCTCTGTGCAAAAGCTGCTTTCACCTGCAAATCTCCCACAATACATGCAAGGTACAAGTTAGTCACTACACACAGTGCAGTAGTAGAAGGCCACCTGTATCTTACCCAGTCACTAAATGTGCATGTAATGTGGACATGTTTTTGCTCTCCCAGTCTGAGGGTAGATTCAACCATTTCTCTTGATGTGGCTCCTCATACTCAGGAATAGTTTGGGTCACAGGTGGGCCTCTGAAAGAAACAAACAAAAAAGGGCGCAACATGGCTTACTACATTTGTTTATATCAAAACCTGAAACTTCTTAGCAAGAAGATGCTTCAGTATCCCCAAGATGCAGGGAAAACACCCTGTAAATCTTTCCTCTTTCAGAAGGTCCTTGCAAGAAGCAGATTTAAAAGCTAAGATGTGCAGGATGACATTCTCCTTGCTTTGAAATATGGACCAGACTGGATTTTGCCTCTTTGACTCACAATGAACTGCCACTTTGCCATTCACTTTGACTCCATTTAGATATGAAGAAATAAACAATCCAGTCTTGTGGTTTATTTACCTGAGCAATTCTTAGCAACCCCCCCATCCAGCTGTATCCAGTTTACAGTGCCTCATTCACTTTACTTTTACAATCTTGTTTTAGTCAGCAAAGTTATTTTTACATTCTTAAGGAAAACCACAGTCAAATCCAGATTAGTTGTGCTATAACTATTATGACATTAATGCCTTTCTGGTGGTTATCCCAAAGATGTATGTGTGAAAGTACACATATGTATTCTTAAATTTGTAAATAAAAGATGAAATAAAACCACAAATATACATAATAATCCAAACCAATATCATATGAATTTATCTTTTAGTTGGATATGTGAAATCAAAACCAGAATGGACTGTGATCAGGTTTTTTTTATAAAGCACACAGAGTTGTTTCATTTATTTTCTTAGCTTACACCAGACTACCTCTGCAGTAAGATTAAATATGCTCCATAAAAAAACAGAGGGATAGTTTTTCGAGTGGTCCTCTGTGAATCCACACAAATGGGTTTTACTGTGCCTGCGCAGGACTCCTCAGAATATTCTAGAGCTTAAAAACACGTAATTAGTAGGACGTTGCCCTGTGGCGCGCATGCTCCGCCCCCCAAAATACCTCAGTTCCGGAATGTCCACCACTTCAAGGCTCTGACTCCAACAAGCTCCAGACACCAAGTGACAGACAGCAGAGAGGATGGGCAGGATGTGTGGATACACAAAGGACCACTCAAAGAACTATGATTATAAGCAAGTAACCTCTTTTTCTTCTTCGTGGCCTCTGTGAATGCACACAAATGGGTTACACAAATGAATTACGTTATTATTGGCTGTCATGTGCCCAGGGAATACAGCAGGCGAAAATCCAATAAGTCAGTCCAAAGTCTTCAGAAGTCTGGGAGATACAAAACAGATGCCAAATTGTCAAAGCCAAAACACAAACTGTAGTCAGAAGTCAGAGTCCAAGAGCCAATGATCAAATAAGCAAGGTTCAAGATAGCAGGAACGTGGATGCAAGCCACAGAATGGACTTGTTGCTTCCAAGATTTCCAAGCCTTCTAGGTACAAATTATATAGGAGCAGCAACCATCAGACTCCTAGAAGCCTTCCATCCTGTTAAAACCCAGGACTGGTTGACCTGATGTTCCTGTGGAAAGCATTCATACGAGCTTCGGAGCTTCGTGTCATGATTCTTTAACGAAGCTTATCCCTCACTCTGGCTACTGGGGAGGAGAATCTGGTGGTGATTCAGCTGTCTGTGCTTCTAAATGCCCAGTATTTTCCTCAGCTGAAATTAACCCCTCAGATGCCAGACCTTCTTCAGCTGAACTCATGACATTGGCACACATTGTGCAATTTGTATGGGGCTGAGGAGGCCGTAAAAGAGGACAGGAAGGGATAGGGGACAAAAAGAAGAGATAACTCACAGGGAAATGTCCATAAATAAAAAACCTGATTAAGTCTGTGATCCAATAATCGAAAATGTTAGGCAATCCGAAAGATCAGAAAAACTGTAAGATCACAAAATCGCTCTAGGAGTCACTACAGGAGTCCGATTTCAGCAGCGGCTAAATGGAACTGAGGTATTTCAGGTCGGCGGAGCATGCGCGCCATGGGGCAACATCCTACTAATTACATCTTTTTAAGCTGTAGAATATTTCAAGGAGTCCTGTGCAGGCACATTAAAACCCATTTGTGTGCATTCGCAGAGGCCACGAAGAAGAAACATTAGATATAAAAGTGAGGGAGAATATAGATATGCAGGATATCTATTGGAAATTTCTATTTTAACCCACAACCTATGATATTACTTGCTGTTTTGAGTGTATTTCTCACTTTACTTTTCTCTTGATTATTGTTTGGTTTGTATCTACGTTTTGCTCCTGTCTGTTCATATGCCAATAAAGGAATCGAAATCGAAATCGATATGTTTAGAATCCCTGTGAGGGAGGTAAAAGTAAGTGGGAGGGACTAGATCAAAGTCATGCAGTCTTGGCTGTATGGAAATTTGAACCTAGGTCTATCCCAGTCTTAGTTGTACTCTAACACATTAGCCATTATATCATGTAGTTTGTGCCAAATATTTATAAGATGTTGAGACATTAAAGAGTTTTGTTTAGGAAACATAAATCAAATATACAAGATAAATCAAGTTATGCTCTTGGTCAGTGATGTAGCTTATAGATAGGACTGACCCTCCGGCTATGTAAAATACTCAGCTCAAATTCATAACTGAAGATTTCATAAGACAAGAATAAATTAATTAAGATAAGTGGGAGACTAAAGTGGCATATACATTGCACATTACTCTAAGTATATCAACGCTAAGTAGATCTATTAAGGAACAGTAACTCTGCTTGGAAATGCAAGCTCTTTTCTCAATGTTCAAAGTCAGGTACAAATGTAGAAAAAAATTGTAGACAAAAATCAAAGTGTGGTAAAATTGTAGTCACCGACTCTAGATGCAGAAACCCTTTTATTTGAAGGGAACACTGACAGTGGGATAAGGATTAACCATTCAGATAAACGTAACTCTCCTTGCTTTAGGGGAAGGGCAGAATTTGAAATGTGCCTTGTGGTGCAGTGGTTTAATTGTAATATTACAGTCAAAACCCTGCTCATGGTCAGTGTTTGATCCCAGTGAATTCTGCGTCATAGCTGACTCAGCCTTCCATTCTTTTGAGGTCAGTAAAATGAATGACCAGCTCACTGGAGGGGCAATGTGTAGCCTGTATAATTAAATTGCAGACCACCTAGAGCAGTGGTCAGGGAACAGGAGCAAATTACCCCAAATGGGGTAAAATGAAAATCCTAGGAGTAATGAGGACGCGACCCTACCCCCCTTCCCTCCTCCTCCTCTTCCTTCTCTTCTGCCTGGCTGCCCGATCGTCTCCTTCCCACCCCCTTCTCTGACTCGGCTGCAACCGAGCCATGGTGGATGGCAGCCGGTGACAGGCCCTGGCCAGTGGCATATGGCAGCTGAGGTGGCGGCGGCGGGGCCAACCATGGCGGAGGGCAACACTGGGGTGACTAGCCAGGAGGAGCCTCTCCTTCCAGGGCCTGGAGGGGTGGATTGCGGCAGAGGGGGGCGGGCACAGCCATGACAGTGACCGGGGCAGGTTCAGCCTCCTGGCACTGGGATGCCACCCCACGCCCCATCCCCTTTCCCGGAGGAGCCCGTTGGCCAGCAGCAGTGCTTGCCTGGCTGCGCGGCTTCCTTCGGCGGCGCCTCCACCCCGGCTGGCTGGGCCAGGCAAAGCCTCTTGCTCTCTGTGCGGCAGCTGTCGTGGCACTTCAACGGCGAGGCCCGCGGGAGCCCTGATGCCGAGGTCTGATGCGACCACCCCGGTGAGCAGCTGCAGGAACCAGTGCTGGAGTGGCAGATAGGGTGGGGCACCCCCAGCGGGCGAGCCACCTGCTGCTCTTCGATGGCCACCCAGGAGCGGCCTGCCGTCAGAGAAAGGGAGACGCCCCCACAGGGCCAAGGACTGAGTGCAGCCCCGCCAGCGTCAGAGAAAGGGAGATGCCCCCACGGGGCCAAGGACTGAGTGCAGCCCCGCCAGGCAGAGGAGACGGCCCAGACGGGGGCGATGAGGCTTCAGCGGCGGCGCTCGACTGGCTGTGGGTGACTGAGATCCTCCCTTTAAATCAAGGGGGTAATGTTGGCGTATATAAATTTTTTAGGGGGTAAAAAGTAAAAAAGTTCCCTGACCCCTGACCTAGAGAGTACTTTAAGCACTATGGGGTGGTATATAAGCAGCTCACTTTGTTTCTGCTTTTTATACAAGTCATGTCAGTCATTATATAGGCATGACATGCATCCCTAAAAGTTTAAAATTTATAAACCACCCTTTAGATAGAGGGGTATATATATGTGCAATATTTTAAAATAACAGATACAATATAAAAGTGATACAATTATCGAATAAATAGCATGCAAATTATTTTTTAAAAACTTACAAAAATCAAATAAGCAATGTAAAACACCAGACATACACAATATTTGCATTTGAAAATTATGGGCAAAAAGTAACAAGGCATTTTAATCTAGTGTTTAAGAGAGAACAAGGTCAATGTCAATCCTCCTCCTCAGAATGATATTCCAAATTTGGGATACCATGCAGAGTGATCAGTGAGTGATCACCACCTACCACCAACCCACAGAGTATGACAAGGAACATGAATTAGAGTGGTTGAGCTTTACCCTGTTCCTTGTAGATGGAATCTACTTGGAACTCACTTCATGTATCAGGGCTGACACATGAATTAGGGAAAATGTTACAGTGGAGATCCTAGTAACTGACTCTAGATACAGAAACTCTCAAAGAGGAGGTGTCGGCACATGGAGTATTTGCTAAATATAAAATACTTTTAAGCATTGCATTCCCCATCTATAGTGTCAGCATATAACTATTTTCTTGTGGCCTTCACATAAGGGTAAGTAATTTCTAGCACAACTCTTAAACAAGCAATTGAAATATATCCTATTTCTATATATGCTACAGGGAGGGCATTTTTCAAAGCTGGAAAAGACAATATTTTATTATATTACTACTCAGAAAGTCCAGGAGAAGGAATGACAGTGGGAAATTGAAACTGCAAGCATTCTCTCTAGTGGCCCAAAGTATAGCTCATCTTACTTTACATCTGCCTAAAGCATTAATTTTTTTTACAGTAACATAAATTACCGCATTCAGCGTTTGTCTCTCAAT